TTCTAATTATTTTATGTAACTTATTGTTGTGTTTGTTGTGATTTTTTTTCTGTGAATCGTTCTGGCAGTTTACATGTCCTATAGCCAAAATGTTTTTTTTTGTTTGTTTGTTTTTGTTGTTTTTTTTTTTGTTTTTTGCTTTTTGCTTTTTTTTGTCTTGTTTCTTTTGTCAAATCTCTGAGTTGTGATAATTGTCGTGGGTCGGGTTTTAATCTTCAGTCTCCACAGCTCTTGTAAAAAGAAGAAGAAGAAGAAGAAAAAAAACGCAAAGCTCTTAACTTAGATGCAATCTTTTTTAAGGACAGGTTATTTTTCTTAAGTGTTGGCTTTTATAGCGCTTCGATTGTATGTGTATATCGTTGTTGTCTATCGAATAAAATATTTTCCAAAGGACACATGGTCTCAGCTGTGCTTTAACTTTTACAGATGGACTGAAAAGCAGCAAACGGCGTTAATAAACTGAAGCTCTTATCGATAATCATCACATTTCTTTAAGGAGTCGTGAAATACTGATGTGATACTCACCGTTTTTAAGTTTTTAAATGACACAATTGTTTTGGCAGTGCCTGAAGTGTGAACTGTTTCTGTTTGGGGAAGTCTGGCTGAGAGCAAAGGAAGTGCAAAGTTACAGGCTACAGATAAAAGGGGGCAGAAAGGAATTATTTCTTATTTGCACTTCTATTTTCCTGAAACAATTATTCAGATCTAAAATTAAACATCTTTGAAAATTACATTTTTGTTTCTCATTATTTTTAAGGTAGGATATTGTATTGATTTTGGACCTTAGTTCATATAATATATATATATATATATATACAGTATAGATCGGGTGCTTTAAAGCTGTTTCCCAAAGTAGAGTTTATAGTTTCAGTTCATATTTTAAAAGTTTTAACAACTCAATTCACCATCTCCATCACAGGCAACAGTCCAAAACGCAGAGTGAACCTATTTAGCACCATAACACACACACACACACACACACTCAAAAGAAATTTTTCACCATCAGTCCCTTGTTTATCAGCTTTATTCGCAGTGAATCATGGTTGCAGTGGCTCAAAAGACGGTGTTTCGCCTCACAGAGACGTACTTAGGGCCTAATCGTAAATTCCCTCAGGACAAGACAGGAAGACAAAGAGGTGGTGGATCAGAGCTCACCTCTGGAGCTGTAAAACATCTGTCTGGTTTGGAAAACTCCTGCAGCTCGGCTGTTGTTGGTTTTCAGCTAATGTAGGACACATCATGGCTCTGCTGGATTCATGTCTGACCTCCAGAACCTCATCAGCATTAAGCTAGTTGTAATTTTGAAGGAAGCTTCCAAATGCGTACACATATTCAGTCGGCTTGGACTTAGTGTAGCACATTCTCACAGATGATAAAACATCAGTGAGAGTATATACTGTATTGACAGTCACCTTCACACAGACAACTCCTGAGTTTCTCTTTCTGCTCCTACAGAGTTCTTTCCTCATTAATAGCCTGGCCCCAAACCTTTTTAAATGAGTGTCACCCACCCCCTTAGGCATCAGTGACAATACATCAAGATAGAGGGATAGTGGAGGTGTGAAAATAGACTACAGCCATTGGTGTGACACATGAAATAACTGGCAGTAATCACTGGGACACCCAGCCCCTGCCTGTTCTGTTGTAAACTATCAGAGTCAATGATTGAGGCAAACAGTGCTGAGCCGGGTGAAAATGAGGTAAGATTAGGCTTCTTTCTCACACACAGTTTTATATCTCCAATTACCCTCAAGTGCTTTTCTTGCATCTTTATGTGGCCCAGGCGAGGCAGGGGTGCCCGTAGGTGCTGCAACCATCGCACCTGTACCTCCTGGTGAGGTTCCATTATGCTGCCTTCCCTAAGCAGGGCCGAGCAGCAGGGGAGACAGATGGGAGGAGGGTCAAGTTACCCCTGTTGCTGCTGTTGCTATAGCACAGTTGGGTCAGGGTCAGAAAGCCCATGGTAACAGCACTATCATGTCAGCACACAGACACACACCCACACCTGCTACTGCACAAAGTTTGAGGTTGCACAATTACTGTATGTTGTTGAGAGAGAGAGAGAGA